ACCCAAAAAAAAAAAAAAAAAAAAAAAATAGTTTTCCAGGTTATATATACCAAGTATCATTTCTCCCCTGTGCCTCCTAAACTCCTCATCTAGATAATCCAAATCCTGTCAATTTTTACAGATAATACTCATTTGGTTTTCCTGAATTTCAGAATAGCTTTTCTTTCCTTTGGCGCACCGCCCAGCTTGTGGGATTGAACCCGGGCCCTCGGCAGTGAGAGTGCAGAGTCCTAACCACTGGACCGCCAGGGAATTCCCTCAGAGTAACTTTGGTGATAGCTTTTCCAGTTTCATCTAAATAACCTGCCCCATCCTAAAACCTCAGAAAGGTAACTGAGTACTGCAACAGATTTCTTAATGGACCACAATTTAACTGCTTTGTTTTTATTTGATTCTCTCCATTCAGTTCCACTGTAAAACAAACCAACTGCTGAACACCTGAGCCTGCCTTCCCCCACCCCTGACTACAAAGCATTCTGCTCCCACCAGATAAACTATATGCAAAAATCAATAGTCTTTACTCCCAGATCTGTCTTTTCCAGTTGTACCCGCTATTATAAATATGCAATTTATTCAAAATTACAAATTAAGAATACAAAAATTTTCAATGAAAACGAAGTTGTGAAAGACATTCACTTCCAATCATGACTAAATAACTGCTGTGACTTGCCCTCCCATTGTAAACAACTAGAATATTAAACAAAATATATGGGGGAAAAAGACCCTTTATTCAGACATTAGAAAACAGGTAGTTCAGACCTATTTGACTTCCCTGAGTGAAGACAAACAATGAAGTGAGCCCTAAGGTCACTCACTCCAGCTTCTTGTCTGGAGCCTTTTCAGAGTATAGCACAAGCATAGCAAGGTGATTCTGCTGAGCTAAGGAGACAGAGGTCAGAGTCTGGGGAGGCTTGGGTGAACAGAATTTACAGGGCAGGGCACCAGAGATGAGAGCATAGAGAAAAGGCACCAGAAATCTATACGAAGGGCTCCTTGGGTCGTTATCTGAATACTGAACTGCTCATGCGTGGGGTGAATCTTCATGAGGCTGGGCAAGAACAATTACCCAGGAACTATAAATTAACAACCATCAGAGATCACACAGGCTGGGAGACATTCACATTCCTGCCAGGCGGAGGAGAGAGACCTTGCTGAACTACTGGAACATTCAGAGAGACCTTTAATGGGTCATGTTTTAGTAGCAGAGCTAAACTAGTCCTAGAGTAAGGCCTACACTAGACCTGCCTAACAAGGTTTTAAAAAAAGTGTTGAAAGGATCAAACTGATCTTCAAGTAACTTGTTGGCCAAAACAAAAATCAACACTCTTAAAATACACAGAATGACACTGAATAACATTCTGCTGCATATGGATATACAATTGTTTTCCACTATAAAGGCCTTGGGCCTTTGTCAAAACTCAGGGTTTATTTCTGAACTCCCTTCTCCTGCCATGGACCTATTTCCCTATCTTGATGCCAAGATCGTGCTGTTTTGATTATGCCATATAATAATTCTTGAAATCAGGTAGTGTTAGCCCTTTAACTTTGTTCATCAGAGCTGTCTTACTATTCTAGATTCTTTGCATTCCATATGAATTTTAGAACCAGCTTTGGCATTTCTACAAGAAAATCCTACCGGAATTTTGATTGAGATTGTGTAGAATCCATAAATATACCTGAGTAGAAATAACATCTTAATAATATTGTCTTCTGACTCAATCTCTCTCCATTTCTCTCCATCAAATTTTCTTTTTTCTGTTTAATATTTTGTAGGTTTCAGTGTACCTGTCTTTTACATCTTCTGCTAAATTTTATCCGTATTTCACATTTTTTGAAACTGTGGCATAAATTTCACTTCCTAATTGTTTGGTTTTCATATTTCACTTTCTAATTGTTTGTTGCTAGAATACAGAAATATAATTAATATCTGTATATTGATCTTGTATCTTGCAACTTTGCTAAACTCACTTACAGTTGCTTTTATTGTAGATTCCATCAGATTTTCTACATAGACGATTATGTCACTAGTGACTAAAGACTGTTTTACTACTTCTTTTCCAACATGGATGCCTTTTGTTTTTCTTCCTGACTGTACTGGCTAGGACCTCCACTACAATGATCAACGGAAGTGGTGGGAACAGACATCCCTGTCTTATTTCTGATCTTAGGGGGAAAGCATTCACTCTTTCACCATTAAGTATCACAGCTGTGTATTTTTTTTGTAGATGCCCTTTGTCAGATTAACCAAGTTCCCCTCTATTCTGAGTTTGCTGAGAGTTTTCATCAGTAATGGATGTTAGGTGTTGTCAAAATCTTTCTTTGCATCATCTACTAAAATGATCATATGGTTTTTCTTTTTTAACTTATTAATATAACAAATTACAGTGGCTGATTTTCAAATGTAATGTAATGCAAATTTTTTGTTCTAGTTCTGTAAAAAATGCCATTGGTAATTTGATAGGGATTGTACTGAATCTCTAGATTGCTTTGGGTAGTATAGTCATTTTCACAATATTGATTCTTCCAATCCAAGAACATGGTATATCTCTCCATCTGTTGGTATCATCTTTAATTTCTTTCATCAGTGTCTTACAGTTTTCTGCATAGAGGTCTTTTGTCTCCCTAGGTAGGTTTATTCCTAGGTATTTTTTTTTTTTGTTGCAATGGTAAATGGGAGTGTTTCCTTAATTTCTCTTTCAGATTTTTCATTAGTGTATAGGAATGCAAGAGATTTCTGTGCATTAATTTTGTATCCTGCAACTTTACCAAATTCATTGATTAGCTCTAGTAGTTTTCTGGTGGCATTTTTAGGATTCTCTATGTATAGTATCATGTCATCTGCAGGCAGTGACAGCGTTACTTCTTCTCCAATTTGTATTCCTTTTATTTCTTTTTCTTCTCTGATTGCTGTGGGTGGGACTTCCAAAACTATGTTGAGTAATAGTGATGGGAGTGGACATCCTTGTCTTCTTCCTGATCTTAGAGGAAATGCTTTCAGTTTTTCACCATTAGGAATGATGTTTGCTGTGGGTTTGTCATATATGGCCTTTATTAGGTTGAGGTAGGTTCCCTCTGTGCCCACATTCTGGAGAGTTTTTGTCCTAAATAGGTGTTGAATTTTGTCAAAAGCATTTTCGTTATCTATTGAGATGATCATATGGGTTTTATTCTTCAATTTGTTAATATGGTGTATCACATTGATTGATTTGCATATACTGAAGAATCCTTGCATCCCTGGGATAAATCCCACTTGATCATGGTGTATGATCCTTTTAATGTGTTGTTGGATTCTGTTTGCTGGTATTTTGTTGAGGATTTTTGCATCTGTATTCATCAGTGATATTGGTCTGTAATTTTCTTTTTTTGTAGTATCTTTGTCTGGTTTTGGTATGTCTGGTTTTGGGTGATGGTGGCCTCATAGAATGAGTTTGGGAGTGTTCCTTCCTCTGCAATTTTTGGAAAGAGTTTGAGAAGGATGGGTGTTAGCTCTTCCCTAAATGTTTGATAGAATTCACCTGTGAAGCCATCTGGTCCTGGACTTTTGTGTGTTGGAAGATTTTTATTACAGTTTCAATTTCATTACTTGTGATTGGTCTGTTCATATTTTCTATATCTTCCTGGTTCAGTCTTGGAAGGTTATACCTTTTTAAGAATTTGTCCATTTCTTCCAGGTTGCCCATTTTATTGGCATAGAGTTGCTTGTAGTAGTCTCTTAGGATGCTTTGTATTTCTGCAGTGTCTGTTGTAACTTCTCCTTTTTCATTTCTAATTTTACTGATTTGAGTCCTCTCCCTCTTTTTCTTGATGAGTCTGGCTAATGGTTTATCAAGTTTATCTTCTCAAAGAACGAGCTTTTAGTTTTATTGATCTTTGCTATTGTTTTCTCTGTTTCTATTTCATTTATTTCTGCTCTGATCTTCATGATTTCTTTCCTTCTGCTAACTCTGGGTTTTGTTTGTTCTTCTTTCTCTAGTTCCTTTAGGTGTAAGGTTAGATTGTTTATTTGAGATTTTTCTTGTTTCTTGAGGTAGGCTTGTATAGCTATAAACTTCCCTCTTAGAACTGCTTTTGCTGAATCCCATAGGTTTTGGATCATCGTGTTTTCATTGGCATTTGTCTCTAGGTATTTTTTGATCTCCTCTTTGATTTCTTCAGTAATCTCTTGGTTATTTAGGAACGTACTGTTTAGCCTCCATGTGTTTGTGGTTTTTACGTTTTTTTCCCTGTAATTCATTTCTAATCTCATAGCATTGTGGTCAGAAAAGATGCTTGATATGATTTCAAGTTTCTTAAATTTACTGAGGCTTGATTTGTGACCCAAGATGTGATCTATCCTGGAGAATGTTCCGTGTGCACTTGAGAAGAAAGTGTGATCTGCTGTTTTTGGATGGAATGTCCTATAAATATCAATTAAATCTATCTGGTCTATTGTGTCAGTTAAAGCTTCTGTTTCCTTATTTATTTTCATTTTGGATGACTGTCCATTGGTGTAAGTGAGGTGTTAAAGTCCCCCACTATTCTTGTGTTACTGTCAATTTCCTCTTTTAGAGCTGTTAGCAGTTGTCTTATGTATTGAGGTGCTCCTATGTTGGGTGCATATGTATTTATAATTGTTATATCTTCTTCTTGGATCGATCCCTTGATCATTATGTAGTGTCCTTCCTTGTCTCTTGTAACATTCTTTATTTTAAAACCTATTTTATCTGATATGAGTATTGCTACTCCAGCTTTCTTTTGATTTCCATTTTCATGGAATATCTTTTTCCATCCCCTCACTTTCAGTCTGTATGTGTGCCTAGGTCTGAATTGGGTCTCTTGTAGACAGTATATAGATGGGTCTTGTTTTTGTATCCATTCAGCAGGCCTTTGTCTTTTGGTTGGAGCATTTAATCCACTCACGTTTAAGGTAATTATTGATATGTATGTTCCTATTACCATTTTCTTAATTGTTTGGGGTTTGTTTTTGTAGGTCCTTTTCTTCTCTTGTGTTTCCCACTTAGAGAAGTTCCTTTAGCATTTGTTGTAGAGCTGGTTTGGTGGCACTGAATTCTCTTAGCTTTTGCTTGTCTGTAAAGCTTTTGATTTCTCCATCGAATCTGAATGAGATCCTTGCCGGGTAGAGTAATCTTGGTTGTAGGTTCTTCCCTTTCATCACTTTAAGTATATCATGCCACTCCCTTCTGGCTTGTAGAGTTTCTGCTGAGAAATCAGCTGTTAATCTTATGGAAGTTCCCTTGTATGTTATTTGTCATTTTTCCCTTGCTGCTTTCAATAATTTTTCTTTGCCTTTAATTTTTGCCAATTTGATTACTATGCGTCTCAGCGTGTTTCTCCTTGGGTTTATCCTGTACAGGACTCGCTGCGTTTCCTGGACTTGGGTGGCTATTTCCTTTCCCATGTTAGGGAAGTTTTTGACTATAATCTTTTCAGATACTTTCTCTGGTCCTTTCTCTTCTCCTTCTGGGACCCCTATAAATGTGAATGTTGGTGCATTTAATGTCGTCCCAGAGGTCTCTTAGGCTATCTTCATTTCTTTTCATTCTTTATTGTGTTCTGCAGCAGTGAATTCTACCATTCTGTCTTCCAGGTCACTTATCCGTTCTTCTGCCTCAGTTATTCAGCTGTTGATTCCTTCTAGTGTAGTTTTCATTTCAGTTACTGTATTGTTCATCTCTGTTTGTTTGTCCTTTAATTCTTCTAGGTGTTTGTTCTTTAATTCTTCTAGGTCTTTGTGAAACATTTCTTGCATCTTCTCCATCTTTACCTCCATTCTTTTTCCAAGGTCCTGGATCATCTTCACTATCATTATTCTGAATTATTTTTCTGGAAGGTTGCCTATATCCACTTCATTGAGTTGTTTTTCTGGGGTTTTATCTTGTTCCTTCATCTGGTACATAGCCCTCTGCCTTTTCATCTTGTCTATCTTTCTGTGAATGTGGTTTTTGTTCCACAGGTTGCAGGATTGTAGTTCTTCTTGCTTCTGCTGTCTGCCCTCTGGTGGATGAGGCTATCTAAGAGGCTTGTGCAAGTTTCCTGATGGGAGGGACTGGTGGTGGGTAGAGCTGGGTGTTGCTCTGGTGGGCAGAGCTCAGTAAAACTTTAATCTGCTTGACCTGTGATGGGTGGGCCTGGGTTCCCTCCCTGTTGGTTTTTTGGCCTGAGGCAACCCAACGCTGGAGCCTACCTGGGCTCTTTGGTGGGGCTAATGACAGACTCTGGGAGGGCTCACACCAAGGAGTACTTCCCAGAACTTCTGCTGCCACTGTCCTTGTCCGCACAGTGAGACACAGCCACCCCCCGCCTCTGCAGGAGACCCCCCAACACCAGCAGGCAGGTCTGGTTCAATCTCCCCTGCAGTCACTGCTCGTTCCCCTGGGTCCCGATGCACACACTACTTTGTGTGTGTCCTCCAAGAGTGGAGTCTCTGTTTTCCCCAGTCCTGTCGAAGTCCTGCAATCAAATCCCACTAGGCTTCAAAGTCTGATTCTCTACGAATTCCTCCTCCCATTGCCGGACCCCCAGGTTGGGAAGACTGACATGGGGCTCAGAACCTTCACTCCAGGGGGTGGACTTCTGTGGTATAAGTGTTCTCCAGTCTGTGAGTCACCCATCCAGCAGTCATGGGATTTGATTTTACTCTGATTGTGCCCCTCCTACCATCTCATTGTGGCTTCTCCTTTGTCTTTGGATGTGGGGTATCTTTTTTGGTGAGTTCCAGTGTCTTCCTGTCAATGATTGTCCAGCAGCTAGTTGCGATTCTGGTGTTCTCACAAGAGGGAGTGAGAGCACGTCCTTCTACTCCGCCATCTTGGTTCCTCTCCCCTCACCTTCATTTTTGAAAGATATTTTTCTAGGTATAGAATTCTAGGTTCTAGTTATAGAATTCTATAGAATTTCTTTTAGTACTTTAAAGCTGCTGCTCCACTGTCTTCTTGCTTACATTGTTTCCAACAAGAAATTTAATATCATCCTTATGACATGAAAAAAAAAAACATGGCCTTTTTTTCCTTAACACATACATATCCTTCTGACTTCTTAAATGACTGAATATTATTTCATTGGTTACATTATAATTTTTTAACTATTCACTTAATTTAGATCATTTCTAGTCATTTTATTATAATAAACAATGCTGTAATGAACATCTTTATAAAATATATTTAAGCAAATACAGCCATAGAGTAAATCCCTTTAAACAGAATTGCTGATTCAAAAGAATTGTGATTTAAAATTCTGATGAATGTAAATAAACTGCCCTATAAAAAGACTGAAAAAACTTTTACCAAAAACATGTGAGATTGTTTACTGTTTCCACATTCTTGCCACTGGGAATTCTCAAATGTTTATTGGCATGCCCTTAGGTGAAAATTGTACTTGTTAATTTGTATTTAAGTATGAGTGAGATGTTAATCTTTTCAGGTATTTACATTTTTTTTCTGTGAACTCCTATTTTTCTTTATCCTTACTGTTTTGTAAGAGCTCTCTGTATACTAGTATAATTAATCCCTTGTCATGTGTTATTAATATTTCTTCTGTGTTTGATGATTGGTTTTTTTTAGGATATCTTTCCATACAATTTTTAAAAAATGTATATAGTCAATTTTATCATTCTTTTCCCTCCTGGCTTCTGGTTTTGAATTGTTCTTTACAAAGGGTTTTTCCAAGATTATAAAAAGATTCACTTGTATTTTCTCCTAGAACTTTTTTTTCCTTTAACTCTGGCCAGACTGGAATTAAATTTGGTATAAGGAAGTTATAGGGATCCAACTGTTTGTGTTTTTCACTATTTATTATTTAGTCCTTCTTTCTGCCATCAATTTGAGAAGCCATATTTATCACAGACCTACCCCTATATTCCCATTGTATCTGGCTTCTACATCTAACCCTTTATTCTGTTTCACTGATTTATCTGTCTATTCCTGTGCCAATACCAACTTATTTTAACTTCTATTGTTTTCTAATTGCTTTCACATTATGTAGAGCAAGTTCCTGCCTCTCTACTCTCCCTTTGTTTTATTTTTCAGAATTTTCTGTGTTAAGTCTTTTATATTTAGTTTTCCAGCTGAAATTCTGTATCATTCTCATAGCTAACTTCCAGACCTATAAAGCAAAACAAAACAAAACAATTAACAAATACACAAAAATATGTTTTTGATTGAGCTCTCATGCATTTACAGAATAATTTAGGGAGAAGTAAGTTTCTTACAATACTGAATCTTTATGGTCAAGAATAAGGCTCTTCTTTCCATTTATTCAAGTCTTTTTTATGCCCCTCAGCATAATTTTTACACTTTCTTCTTACAGGTATGGCAATTTCTTATTAGGTATATAAGCAGGTATTTTCTCTCTTTTGTAACTATTATAAATGGGATCTTCTCTTATATTTTGTAACTGGGTAATACTTATGTATATGAAAGGTATTTACTTTTGTCTTCTTTTGGTTTATTGAATTTTTTAAACTTTTTAGCTGGAAATAATTTCCGATTTATAAAAAAGTTGTAAAAATAAAACAAAGGATTCCCCCATTGTTAACATTTTGCCGCCACTTAAATCATTCTATCTCCCTCTTTATATATACATACACATGCATATAGACACATATACACATAATGAATAACTTGCATACACCATGCCTCTTTACTTACTAACACTTAAGAGCATATTCTCTAAAAGCAAGGACACTATCTTATATAACCAAATTATTAAATTAAGAAAATTTAACATTGACACAATATTATTCTTTAATCTACAGTCCATATTTCAATTCTGCCAGCTGTCCCACCATCTATTGTTTTGTAACCAGTACTCCTAGGTTATTATTATTTCTGATAGTTTTTTAGTTTATTCTTTGGGGTTTTATATATAGGAACAAAGAAATAACATCTAAATATATAATAATTTCCTCTATTTATTCTTCTGGTTATAATTTCCCAAAGCCTATGCTAGGTTAGTCACACCACAAGTAGGTCAGATATCTAAATTTGAAAAGGGTTCTGAAACTATTCTCTTAAAAGTACAAGTACAGGAAATATACCAGCCTATGAGGCAGAAGTTCAGGATCCTAGTTATACTACTAATGAGCTGTGCAGTGCTGGGGAAAATCCTTAACCTCTCTGAACTTCCTCATCAGTAGAATGAGAAAGTTGAGACATATAATCTCTAAATCCTTTTTTAGTACCAGGATTCTATACTTTTGTAAGTTACTTATTACAGAAATAAAGAAATTAAATAGGCCTCACCATTTTTCCCTTCAAGTTTTCTGTTTTTCCTGATCTGTTCTCCACTCTTGAGTCTGGATGAATGCACAGTCTTCCCTTTACCTTCAATCTTTAAAGCAGGATTCTGCATTCTTGAAAAATAAATGTGCTTTTAAAATTACTATCATGTTCTCCACAACCATTCAAAGAGAATCATACCGAATTTTTGACTAATTTTTTTTAAAACTCAAAGATATTTTACTGAGCTGTTGTCAAGCAGGATAGCAGTTTTAAGTATGGAGACGTCTCCTGAGTAAACTGCAGATAATTCTGTGACAGACATGTCAGTCATTATGGTTTCTTTGTCTTTGTGCCACCTATGGGTTTCTCTCCTTTAGGGATAGTCACCTGTAAGTGAGTATTCTGAGGCTCCTGTCCCTCACTCCCCATGCTGGCATGCCACTATCCAGTCTATTCACAACTTCTAGGAAAAAAGAGGCAGGCAAAAAAAAAAGGACTTTTCCTGTGGTATGGCACTGGTCAAAAACTGTAAAATACTGGCATAAAAGCATATATGGGTAGGTTTATTTTGGTTCTCTCTATTCTGAGAGCCCCAAAATAAACCTACCCATATATGGTCAATTAATCTATGACAAAGGAGCCAACAATATACAATGGGGAAAGGACAGTCTCTTCAGTAAATGCCGTTGGGAAAACTGGACAGCCATATGCAAAAGAATAAAGCTGGATCACAATCTTTTTTTTTTTTTTTTTTTGCGGTACGTGGGCCTCTCACTGTTGTGGCCTCTCCTGTTGCGGAGCACAGGCTCCGGATGCGTAGGCTCAGCGGCCATGGCTCACGGGCCCAGCCGCTCCACGCAGCATGTGGGATCTTCCCGGACCGGGGCACAAACTCGTGTCCCCTGCATCGGCAGGCAGACTCTCAACCACTGCGCCACCAGGGAAGCCCCTGGATCACAATCTTACACCATATACAAAAATCAACTCAAAATGGATTGAAGACTTGAAAGTAAGACTTGAAACCACAGAACTCCTAGGAAAAAACATAAGCAAGCACCTTGACATCAGTCTTGGCAGTGACTTTTTGGATTTGACACCAAAAGCAAAAATAAAGAAGTGAGACTACATCAACCTAAAAAGTTTCTGTACAGCAAATGAAACTATCAACAAAATGAAAAGACAACCTACCAAATGGGAGAAAATATTTGCACATCATATACTTGAAAAGGGATTAATATCCAAAACATATAAAGAACTCACACAACTCAATAGCAAAGAGAAAAGCAATCTGATTAAAAAATGTGAGAGGAACTAAAAAGACATTTCCAAAGAAGGCATCCAAATGGCCAATAGGTACGTGAAAAGGTGCTTAGCATCACTGATCATCAGGGAAATGTAAATCAAAACCACAATGAGATATCACCCCACACCAGTCAGAATGGCCATCATCAAAAAGTCTAATAATAAATAATAAATGCTGGAGAGGGTGTGGAGAAAAGGGAACCCTCTTGCACTGCTGGTGGGAATGTAAATTGGTGCAACCACGACGGAAAACAGTATGGAGATTCCTCAAAAATTAAAAACAGAACTACCATATGATACAGCAATTCCACTCCTGGGTATTTATTCAAAGGAAACAAAATCACTATCTCAAAATAATATCTGCAGTCCCATTTTTACCGTGGCTTTACTTACAATAGTCAAGACATGGAAGCAACCTAAATATCCATCGATGGATGAATAAATAAAGAAAATGTGATACACACACACACACAATGGAATGGTATTCAGCCATAGAAAAGAAAAAATCCTGCCATTTGCTAGAACATGAATTGGCCTTGAGAGAATTATGCTAAGTGAAATAAGTCAGAGAAAGACAAATACTGTATGATCTCACTTACATGTGGAATCTAAAACAAAACAACAAAAAAACAAAAACCCTAAACTAATAGATACAGAGAACAGACTAGTTCTGGAGGTAGGAGACGGTGTGGGTGGGTGAAATGGGTGAAGGTGGTCAAAAGGTACAAACTTCCAGTTATAAGATAAATAAGTCCAGGGGATGTAATGTACAGCATGGTGACTAGTTAATAATACTGTATTGTATATTTGAGAAGTTGCTAAGAGAGTAGACCTTAAAAGTTCTCATCACAAGAAAAAAAATTTGTAACTATGTGTGGTGAGAGAGGTTAAACAAAGAAAATTAGCATTAAGCTAAAATACAACAATTTCCCATTACTTTGTCTCAAAAAAAGAAAGTAAAAGAGTTTTCTGGGGGTTTTTTAAATTGCAAAATAAATAAAATAACAAAACTGAAAAATAAAGTTCTTTACTTAGAGGTACACTGACTCTAATGTCCCAAACACAGAATTATCTATTAGGTTGGTAGCATACCTGAAATTCTCAGTTGAAGAGTTATTATTTGTTTGATCCTCACAGCCAAGTATTTTGGGTAAAATCTTTTCTGGCATCTTATATATGTGATGTGTGGGCTTTGCATCTCTGCCTACTTTCAGTCTGGACGATCTCCTTAACACACATGGAGTGTCCTGGTCAGAGCTATTTTCCACCAGATTTGAATTTCCCTTATTATTTAGTGGATCACAAGAGGTGACATTTTGATGAACCAAAGTTTGCAATCCAAATGGATTTGGGTCTTCTAGACTCTGTAATAAGATGTAAATACACAAATAATTACAACAATGCAAAAAACAAAATAAAATTAGAAGAAATTAAGTTTTATCTTGTCCTTTGATTACACAAAAATACCTTATAAGATGGAAATACAAAAACCCATAGACATATGTGAACATAATGAAAATTTTATCATAGTTAATGTAACAAATGACAATGCAGATTTAAAAGCCTAAGACTTTTAAAAGCATAAGTAAATATTATTTTTATCAATATTCATCCTTAAAACTCAAGGATAAACCTAAGGTCACTCTGGGTGCTTTAATTTCATAGGAAATGGATAGCACGAAATGATGAGAGACACATGAAAAGAGTAGTACTGTCACGTCAGGCCATATCAGTGTTCTATTCAGCCTAGTACTTTGTTATTTGATAGCAACAGTAAGTGATATTTGTGGGACGAGATACTATAAAACTTCCATTACATTGATTTTAAAAGGTTAGCAGTATATCATGAACGGCTCTAACTTCCCCTTAAAGTTAAATCCATTATAGATTTAACTTTCGTGGGGATACATATTTTTATACATATCACATAAACCTTTCTTTTTTTTTTTTACGTAAACCTTTCTTGAGCTTATTTATATATCCAGCTTGCAAAGCTTCTCAAGGTAATAAGTTTCATATTTTATAAAAAATATTTATTTATTTGGCTGCACCGGGTCTTAGTTGCAGCACATGGGGTCTTTGTTGCCACATGTGGGATCTTCACTGAGGCATATGGGATCTTTAGTTGTGGCATGCAGGATCTAGTTCCCTGACCAGGGATTGAACCCAGGCCGCCTGCATTGGGAGCGCAGAGACTTAACAACTGGACCACCAGGGAAGTCCCACAAGTTTCATATTTTTATTATAGCTAAGTAAAAGAGTATTTAGTTTGATTTGTTCTAAATCAATCTCTTTTCTACTTCTAAGTAGACTTTTTTTTGAAGACCTCCTAAGTTCATGCTCACTCTATCAATACCAGTCATAATTTCCTACACTTTATTCATATTACCTCTTTTTAGATTAGAATCCTGGAATGTTTAACTTAATCTTCATGCCCTATCTCCATGATTAGTTTCTCTTTTTCTGGATTTTTAAACATATCATTATGTCTGTTTTGAAATTTTTTGACCAGAATTGCATGCAGTATTATTCCAGGTGTGCATGTTATAACCTGAGCTTAGTATCATGCTATTTAAATCTTCCAAGAAATGTTCACAGGAGCATTTTGGTAATAGCCAGAAGGAGGATAGAAAAGAAAAGCAAAAAAAATCCAAATGACCATCATTAGTGAATTGGTTAAATAAATTATATTATTACACACACACACACACACACACACACACACACACACCCATAGAATGGAATACCATTCAACAAGTAGAAAGATTTAAGTAGTGCTACTTTTGTTGACACAGAAAGATAACCACGATGTATTATTAAATTTTAAAAACAAGTTGCAAAGCATTATATATAATATAATCATATTTATATAAAATAAACTTACATAGAATATGCATAGAAAAAAATGGAGACATGCAGCAAACTGTTAACAATGATTATCTCTGTAAAGTGGAATCGTGGGAGACTTCCTCTTACTGTTTGATTTTTTTTTTTATAATGAGGATGTGTTACTATTATAATCAGGATAAAATAAAGATTATTTTTAAAAAGAAAAAAATTGTCAACATGAAAAAGGGACTTGGCAAGTGACAGGCCACTCCAGGGTCTCCAAGCATAATAGTCCAGGAATTCTAAACCCAAGAACTGTGTCACCTGACAGTATGCTCAGACACAGTATGCAAAGCTGTATTGAAGCCAGGCATAAATTTCTCCCTCTCCTGGCAGTCCAATTGCATATATTTTACTTCCAACTAGAAACTGATGTGGGGTATCTTATCTCTACTCTGCACCCAGGCAGACATAGTGATTTTCTGAGCTAACCGGGAAAATTCTGGTAACAAATTTTTTCCTTCTTCTATATAAGCAATGTAATGATGATATATCTTCTCAGGTTTTCAGAGAAACTTATCTATTTTAACATTTAACCCCTTGGAAACTGTACCCCAGGAACCTCGAAAAAGGTAACTATATGCTTCAAAGTCAAAAAGTATCTTCTGAGTGTTGGTATTTGGGTAGAAGGTTTGAATTTAAAATAAAGTATACAGGCAATGAAGACCTGTTAAAGGTCACTATAAAAGGCAAAATCATAGACTCATACTTGCACTTACTTGCTGCACTGAAAGATGCTTGTCCTGTAGCTCACCTAACTTGGAATCTTGTTCAAATGGTTGAGTAGAACAAAGAGTCTCAAAATTCACCTCTGCTATTTGTGTACAATCTTCATCAGTCTGAGACATACTGGGCTCCACTCCTAAACATTCATTTCCAGCACTGAGACTGGTATCTCCCTCTTTTCTGTGACAGATGGGCTCCACCTTGGCTTCTGACAACGTGTTTAAGGCTGCTAATGACTCAGCTGGCAATGCATCATCCTTTGAGTTTTCAAGTAAATCTTTGTGACATGTCAAAGGTATTGATATGGAACTCGAAGAATTGCTCAATGGGTTCATCAACTCTCTACACTGAAAATCACTCATTATTCTAATCGGTCTTTCCTCCTGGGTGATTTCTGGTGATGTCAGTAACTTTTCTAAGGCAGACACAAAAGTTTCAAGAGAGCTTTCTTCATCTTTGGTTTCTTCAGAAGTCATGGTCAATGTGACGTCCTTGCTAGGCTCCTTTTCTGGCTCTATTAACAAGTTCTCCTTTACAGCAAATGTACCAAATTCTTTAATAGTAGTACTTGAGAGAAGGCTTATTTCAGGAGAGTCTCTGTCTCTACTTAGTTCCTGTATATTCCAAATAGAATTTACATCATTATTACATATACAAAAAAGTGTTTAAAATGAAAATGTTATAGTTTTCTAGTTCATCATGTTGCTAAGTTACCACCAAAAAGCTTTATCAACTTTCCTCCCTTCCATAAATAAAAATACTCTTTATTGGGGCTTCCCTGGTGGCGCAGTGGTTGAGGGTCCGCCTGCCAATGCAGGAGATGAGGGTTCATGCCCCGGTCCGGGAGGATCCCGCGTGCCGCGGAGTGGCTGGGTCTGTGGGCCGTGGCTGCTGGGCCTGCGTGTCTGGAGCCTGTGCTCTGCAACGGGAGAGGCCACAGCAGTGAGAGGCCCACGTACCGCAAAAAAAAAACCAAAAAAACAAAAAAACTCTTTATTACTTTCCTATACCAAATTACTAATGACTGTGAACACATGGTTAAACATTTAATAGTAGACCAAGGGTAAAATTGGCCGGGCCATAATTACAGATGGCAAATTATCTATTCAGCTAAGTTTAAATTATCTGGGCTAAGGGAAGAGGCAGAGATAACATGGATAGTTAAATCAACAGATAATCTAAAAACTTCACTGCAGTTAATAGTTGAAAATTTCTCCCGTGCTAAAAATCCCTATTGAATTTTATTAATTAACCAGGAACAAAATTGGTGTAGTTTCACCTTCCTTTTATTCCCCACCTCTGTACGCATATGTAAATGTGATATAAAAAGGCCAAAGGACAGGTGGCCAGGGAGGAGAAAAGGAGAAATGAAAACAGTTCTATGTAAATATTACAAGCTCTGGCTATAAATCAATGGTTCTGACTTATGGTTGTTTTAAACAAAAAACACAAAACTACAAAACACAAAATGACTATTATTTTCAAAGGTATCACCTTAATAGGTTATACCTGTTCTCACAATGTTCCCAATGATCAAAATATTATTAGACTTCCCTTTTGAAAGCGCTTTCAAAATTGTTTATAAGCCATTCAAGAAAATCAGTCTCAATAACTTAAAGGCACTAAACTTTTTTTCAACACTGAAAACTGTTAATTTGCTTGATCTTAAATAACAGAATGGGTTTCAGTGACTTTTGCCTGTTTCTAAAAATCAAATCCACCTTCACTGACACATCACTCTTCCAGAATGCACTGTAACTTGTAAGCCCTCTAATACTATGATTTGATTTGAATAAGGGAAGTGAAAAACATTTAATTCTCCCTCTCTTCCTTTTCTACCTGCCACCATTTATATTCTCTGTACATAGCATCCAGAGCTTAATAAGATATATTTATTAGCAATGCAAACAATAATTTGCTCAGAAAGATAAAAGAAATTTAGAAGGAATTGAAGAACTGGATCCTATCCATTCTTGAAGTCATGTTCAAGATCTCCCTCTTATCTGAAGTCCTTATATCTACTAAATTCAAGGCCTTAGATCTAATAAAGTATATATATATGTGTGTGTATATATATATATATATATATATTTATATATATATATATATATATTGAACTCTGCCCTAAAGGAACTTAATTCCTAAATTAAGATTGAAGGCATTAATACATAAGACATTAAATAAACTATAAATCGGGCTTCCCTGGTGGCGCAGTGGTTGAGAGTCTGCCTGCCGATGCAGCGGACACGGGTTTGTGCTCCACATGCCGCGGAGCGGGTGGGCCCATGAGCCACGGCCGCTGAGCCTGCGCGTCCGGAGCCTGTGCTCCACAACGGGAGAGGCCACAACAGTGAGAGGCCCGTGTACCGCAAAAAAAAAATAATAATAAAATTAAATAAATAAATAAATAAATAAACTATAAATAATGTCAAAAACACTGCATGAACTCAAATGAATGGCATAAACCATAGCCCTAGTGTTACAAGAATAAGTTTTCTGGGGGGAAAGAAAGGGAGGCAGTGAAGGGTTTTCAAGATTGCCTGAAAAATGCTCGGTTAAACAAAGTTAAACAGATTTATTTACTACAAGACTTTTCAAAACGTACACTATAAATCTTTGAGGAGACTTTAGAATACAGTGTTCTCTAAACTTCTTTGTTCAAAAAAATCCTTTATTCTCAGAAGATCTATGAATGTCACAGGAGGCAAGTGATAGGGAAATACTGACATAGTGAATAAGCAGTGTTAAAGAGGGAGCAATTACTTTGGTCAAGATCACCACAGTCATCTGAGACAGATCCAAAGAGGAGAAGGAACTTAAGCCAGAAATTAATGATTTGTGAAGGCGTAAAAGAAGGAAAAACACGTATTTCTTAAGCACCAACTAGGTACCAAACACCATGAGCCATCACTGCTCTCAGTCCTCACTATAATCCTATGAAATGAGTATCACTTTCCGTATATTACACATAAATGACACACACTTGCCCTTGGAACGCAACCTACGTGGTTCCAAATTTTATGCTCTTTCCCTTGCTTTCTGGCTC